CCCCCCTCCCCCCTCCCCTTAATAGGCCCCGTGTGTGATGTTCCCCTTCCAGAGTCCAAGTGATCTCATTGTTCAGTTCCCACCTATGAGTGAGAACATGCAGTGTTTGGTTTTCTGTTCTTGCTGAGAATGATGGTTTCCAGCTGCATCCATGTCCCTACAAAGGACACAAACTCATCCTTTTTTATGGCTGCATAGTATTCCATGGTGTATATGTGCCACATTTTCTTAATCCAGTCTGTCACTGGTGGACATTTGGGTTGATTCCAAGTCTTTGCTATTGTGAATAGTGCCGCAATAAACATACGTGTGCATGTGTCTTTATAGCAGCATGATTTATAATCCTTTGGGTATATACTCAGTAATGGGATGGCTAGGTCAAATGGTATTTCTAGTTCTAGATCCTTGAGGAACCGCCATACTGTTTTCCATAATGGTTGAACCAGTTTACAATCCCACCAATAGTGTAAATGTGTTCCTATTTCTCCACATCCTCTCCAGCACCTGTTCTTTCCTGACTTTTTAATGATTGCCATTCTAACTGGTGTGAGATGGTATCTCATTGTAGTTTTGATTTGCATTTCTCTATGGCCAGTGATGACGGGCATTTTTTCATGTATCTGTTGGCTGTATGCATGTCTTATTTTGAAAAATGCCTGTTCATATCCTTTGCCCACTTTTTGATGGGGTTGTTTGCTTTTTTCTTGTAAATTTGAGTTCTTTGTAGGTTCTAGATATTAGCGCTTTGTCAGATGAGTAGATTGCAAAAATTTCTCCTATTCTGTAGGTTGCCTGTTCACTCTGATGGTAGTTTCTTTTGCTGTGCAGAAGTTATTTAGTTTAATTAGATCCCATTTGTCAATTTTGGCTTTTGTTGCCGTTGCTTTTGGTGTTTTAGACACGAAGTCCTTGCCCATGCCTATGTCCTGAATGGTATTACCTAGGTTTTCTTCTAGGGTTTTTATGGTTTTAGGTCTAACATTTAAGTCTCTAATCTATCTTGAATTAATTTTCATATAAGGAGTAAGGAAAGGATCCAGTTTCAGCTTTCTACTTATGGCTAGCCATTTTTTCCAGCACCATTTATTAAATAGGGAATCCTTTCCCCATTTCTTGTTTTTCTCAGGTTTGTCAAAGATCAGATGGCTGTAGATGTGTGGTATTATTTCTGAGGGCTCTTTTCTGTTCCATTGGTCTATATCTCTGTTTTGGTACCAGTGTCATGCTCTTTTGGTTATTGTAGCCTAGTAGTATAGTTTGAAGTCAGGTAGCGTGATGCCTCCAGCTGTGTTCTTTTGACTTAGGATTGTCTTGGAAATGCAGGGTCTTTTTTGGTTCCATATGAACTTTAAAGCAGTTTTTTCCAATTCTGTGAAGAAAGTCATTGGTAGCATGATGGGAATGGCATTGAATCTATAAATTACCTTGGGCAGTATGGCCATTTTCATGATATTGATTCTTCCTATCCATGAGCATGGTATGTTCTTCCATTTGTTTGTGTCCTCTTTTATTTCACTGAGCTGTGGTTTGTAGTTCTCCTTGAAGAGGTCCTTTACATCCCTTGTAAGTTGGGTTCCTAGGTATTTTATTCTCTTTGAAGCAATTGTGAATGGAAGTTCATTCCTGATTTGGCTCTCTGTTTGTCTGTTACTGGTGTATAAGAATGCTTGTGATTTTTGCACATTAATTTTGTATCCTGAGACTTTGCTGAAGTTGCTTATCAGCTTAAGGAGATTTTGGGCTTAGAAAATGGGGTTTTCTAAATATATAATCATGTCATCTGCAAACAGGGACAATTTGATTTCTTCTTTTCCTAACTGAATACCCTTTATTTCTTTCTCTTGCCTGGTTGCCCTAGCCAGAATTTCCAACACTATGTTGAATAGGAGTGGTGAGAGAGGGTATCCCTGTCTTGTGCCAGTTTTCAAAGGGAATGCTTGCAGTTTTTGCCCATTCAGTATGATATTGGCTGGGGGTTTGTCATAAATAGCTCTTATTATTTTGAGATACATTCCATCAATACCGAATTTATTGAGAGTTTTTAGCAGGAAGGGCTATTGAATTTTGTCAAAGGCCTTTTCTGCATCTATTGAGATAATCATGTGGTTTTTGTGTTTGGTTCTGTTTATATGCTGGATTACGTTTATTGATTTGCATATGTTGAACCAGCCTTGTATCCCAGGGATGAAGCCCACTTGATCATGGTGGATAAGCTTTTTGATGTGCTGCTGGATTTGGTTTGCCAGTATTTTATTGAGGTTTTTTGCATCGATGTTCATCAGGGATATTGGTCTAAAATTCTCTTTGGTAATTACATTTTTTAAGGCATTGGAATAGATTGAAGTAAATTATATAGTAGATAAGATAATGAGTTCAGTTTTGACCAGTTAACTTAAAGATGGAAGCATAACCCTCATTTGAATATACCAGTTACAGTTTTGGATACTCTGGGGTTGTTGGATATATAACTGTAGGGATAAAATTACAGACTTGGAAGTCCGTATGTAGATACTGGCTTAGATGAGTAAACTCACATTGAATTAAAAACATTCTTAGGTGAGAACCCTGAGTTACACCAAATATTAAGGGTGAGTAGAGAAGAAACAATCATTGTGTCAGTGAAAGACATAGAAAATAAATCAGGAATATAGAACGATTAGGGAAGTGCTATCATAGAAATACTCAGATTGTCATCATCTGCAATTAACAGAAAACCTCATGTAGTGGATCAAACAAGCTAGAGGTTATTTTTCTCAAATGACAAGAAATCTGAAGGGAGACAATTGCTGGCTTTGATTAAGTGGCCAGTATATCTGTTGGGTCCTAGTTCCTTCCTGTGATGATTAATATTGAGTGTCAACTTGAATGGATTGAGGGAGGCAAAGTATTCTTTCTGGGTATGTCTGTGAGGGTGTTGCCGAAGGAGATTAACATTTGAGTAAGTGAGCGGGTAAGGGAAGACACATCCTTAATCTAGGTGGACACAATCTAATCAGCTGCCAGCATGGCTAGAATATAAAGCAAGCAGAAAAACGTGAAAATACTAGGCCAGCCTAGCCTCGAAACCTATATCTTTCTCTCATGCTGCATGCTTCCTGCCCTCAAACATCAGATTCCAAGTTCATCAGTTTTGGGACTCGGACTGGTTCTTCTTGCTGGAAGAAGTTGCAGACAGCCTATTGTGGGACCTTGTGATTATGTGAGTTAATACTTAATAAACTCCCCTATGTATATATAATGTAAAGATGTAATAGGATGTATGTGTATATGTGTGTGTGTGTATATATATATCCTGTTAGCTCTGTCCCTCTAGAGAACCCTGACTAATACGCTTCCTAATTTTTCACTGACTTTTTTTCTAATTTTACATACGTTAGGTTTTCATAGTTGTTTCACCTAAGGCATAACATTAACATGAAATACAGGAATCATGGAAGAAAAAAAACAAAACAAAACCCTTTTCCCCATTAAGGTTTGTCCTTTTACTTGAGAAGAAAATCCCTTCAAAAAAGATACTGGTACAGGTTTATATCTCATTAAACAGTTCTGGGTCACATGCCCCACCTTAGACAAATCTATGCCTAGGAATAATGGGATTATAGCAACCGGTTTAGAAAAATAATGCATTATGTTCTCTATCTGGAATAGTGCTACTTTGTGTGAAATTGAGAGACTTCAGCTCATTGCCTAAACAAATGGAATTTCTGATGAAAAGAAGTAGGAAGGGGAATGGCATTATAGAAGGCAAGAAGCCAGGGGTAAAGGGAATTGCAGAATCAAGGTCTTGATAAAAAGTATCAAATCCTGCAGAGAGATCAAGCAAAATAAGATTAAAAAGTGATTATTATATGGCATATTGAAAATCAGAATTATTTTCTCTGACAAGGAAACCTGTGAACAACAAATGGTTAGCTTATTGAGTGAAGGAAAAGTGAAGATAATCTTGCCAATGAAAGGTTGGCAAAGGAACAGAGCAATTAGAAGAAAACAGGGGATTCAAGGGTTTGATCTTTAAAAAAAATAGAAGAAGTTCACTATGTTAGGAGTTCAAGGAAATTAAAAGTTGAAGGAAGTGTAACTGATGGATATTCTTGGAAGATATATGGGATATTTGAAGAGGCTGAACTTGAAGAGCAGAGGATCGTAGTTAGGAGCATGAATTACTGTGTCCTATAACTCTGGATACAAGTCCCAGCTCTGATACTTGATCTCACCAGACTAGGTTTCTTCATCTTCTTCTGTAAAATGGGTCTAATAAAAATGTATAAGAAATTTTGTGAAGTTTAATGCAATGACATACTGAGCGCAGTGCCTGGCATGGAAAAAAATTACTTAATAAATGTTAACTATTAGTATTATTGTTATTTAGTTATACTATTTTACTTCCTAATAAATATTATTTCTATTCAACCATGTATTGAACATAAATATCCATGTATATTAGGATAATGAATCGTGAGTTAAACATTATAATCTCAATATGTGTACCTAACCTCCATAGTAAATTGTTCAAATAAAAAACAATACAAAATGCATTATACAGTTTTGACCTGAAAATCCTAATTTGAATAGTTTAGTAAGAAATAACAACTGAGAAAAATTTCCACATTTAGTGCAGAAGTATTAATGTGTGAAAAATTTTGATCACCTGAGATTATTAGGATGGGACAACATCTAGGTAAGTAGTCAGGGGAAATGTCTAAAAATCCTTGAAAAGAAAAACAAAACAAAAAGTCTGATAATGGAATAAGAAAAACAGTACCCCTATTTGATTCCATCAACATATTCATAATTTTCTTTCTTTCTTATGTAATCACTCTGCTGATTACTATAGTTCTATTTTATGTTTTTGTATAAGATTCAATGATTTTTGACTCTAATATACATAACCCATAGAAAAAATAGGATAAATAGGCAGTACACTTGAGTACCACTGCCTCTGACTTTTCCTCGTTTTATATCCTCAGGTGGTTTGAAAATCAGCTTTTTTGCCCAAGTCAATGGATGGACAAAATGATTCCTTGGCTTCTGAGTTTGTGCTGCGGGGACTCTCCAGTTCGTGGGAAACCAAAATTTTTCTCATATTGATATTCTCCTTGCTCTATTTAGGAATCATCCTGGGAAATCTCTTCATTGTGTTTTTAGTCATTGCTGATTCTCACTTACATTCTCCTAGGTACTTCCTGCTTTCCAATCTCTCCCTCATTGATGTGGGCCTTTCCACCACCACAATCCCCAAGATAATCTCAGACCTTTCAAATGAATACAAAGTAATTTCTTTCCAAGGCTGTATGACACAGATATGCTACATCCACATCATGGTAGGGACAGAGATGGTGTTACTCACAGCCATGGCATTTGACAGGCACACAGCAATCTGTAAGCCCCTTCATTATTTGAACATCATGAGCCCTAAGAGGTGTGTTTTATTCGTAGTCACTGGCTGGGTTACTGGGCTTATCCATGCCATGTCCCAATTAGCTTTTGTTATAAACTTACCTTTTTGTGGCCCTAATAAAGTAGACAGCTCTTATTGTGACTTTCCCAGGATCATAAAATTCGCATGCACATATGGAGCCATATTTGAGTTTCTTGTTGCTGCCAACAGTGGCTTCATGCGTATGGGCACCTTCTTCCTGCTAATCCTTTCTTATATCTTCATCACTTTCTGGACGCATTCTTCCAGAGCGTTCTTATCCAAGGCATTCGTCACATTGTCAGCTCACATCACCATGGTTGTTCTTTTCTTCATTCCATGCACGTTTCTCTATGTGTGGCCTTTCCTCACATCTTCAATTGACAAATACCTGTTCATTGCTGACTTTGCTATCACCCCTGCCTTGAATCCTGTCATCTATACATTAAGGAGCAAAGATATGAAGATAGCCATATAAAGATTGTTCAAATGGAACTATTATGTCAGATTTTGCTGACCAGATCTGTCTTTGGGCCGCTAACACTATACATTCACCTGCCTGTTGGACACATTTGCCATATAACATGATGTCCAGACCAACCTGGAAATGACATCCACCTCACTGAGCAGATTTCTACTACTTTTGCAGAGCATTTACTTAATTGCTTTTATTAGTGTAAAAAATGTGAACCTACTGTGATGTGGCATATTTTACTAGACAGCAAAATTATTCATAAATAATATTGTACAATTTAAATTGCAATTATTTTGAGTAGAGGAAATGACATAATGACATCATCTCTCCTGTTTCCTATGAAGTTCTCAAACTGCAAACTTGTTTTGGTAAATGTCAGCAATCATCACATAGAATGGTTATAGATGTAGGACTAGTAGCTCCACTTAGTCACTTAGTTGAATTGTCAGATGAAGACCCAAAAACAAACTCTGTTTGCAAGTGCTTTATTTGGAAGCTGATTTTTGGAAGCTCTGTGAGGGAGTAGGGAAGTGATACTGAGAAGTGAAAAATGTTTATGTTGATAAACATACTTGAGATTCAAGCCTACTGACACCGCAGCAAGTGACTCTGTTGATCCCGTGACTTATAATTATCTCATTGCAACGAAACAAGGTGAATTGTTTTCTTCATTTTTAGAGGGTGCATTAATTTCTTGGCATGTCCAGAATGTCCTGCACATAATACTGAGCATGTTAGGAAGCCAGAGACAAGCCCGCAGGTAGACTTTTATGGAAACATCTCCTTGTTTGGAAACCACAAGTATCAAAGTATATTGATCTCCCGTTCTCTCTCTTTTTTTTTTTTTTTTTTTTTTTTCTGACAGGGTCTTTTTCTGTCACCCAGGCTGAAGTGCAGTGATGCAATCATAGTTCACTGTGACTTCAAGCTCCCGGGCTTAAACAATCCTCTCGCCTCATCCTCCTGCGTAACTCAGACTACAGGCATGCACCACCATGCCTAGCTATTTTATTTTTATTTTTTTATAGACAGGGTATCTCTATGTTCACCAGACTGGCTGGTCTCAAACACATGGCCTCAAGTGATCCTCCCACCTCAGCCTACCAAAGTGCTGGCATTACAGACATGAGCGATAGCTCTATTCATTTTTTAGACACTTAGGCCCCATTTAATTGAACTTCATCCTATCACAGATTCTTTAAAGTGCTGTCTGTTCAAAATCTCTCTCTTTCTCTCTCTCTCTCTCACACACACAGACACACACACACACATTATAAAAAGGAGGGTAGTGGGATAGGCTACAACAGCATTTTAATTCCTAATTGATCATCACCATCTCTTCCTCTGTTACTCATTCTCAATTCCCCTCATCCTTAGACAGCACTTCTACTGATCTAGGTTGCTTGCCAAGTGAAGTGACCCAGTTCATTTATGAGCAGTTTGAGTGCCTGATGAGAATATTCTTGCCAGTCTGTTGTTGCTACAATTATTCTTTTACCATTTTGACTAATCATGGAACCACCACCTGGTGGTGCCTAGGCTGACCCCTAGTTTTAGGCAAACTCTGCATGCCATCATCCTGTCTTTATCTAATAGTGGGATAAAGACGAGGTAACACATTCCTCTGCCTACTGGTTCATCAACATGAGGAATCCTAAATGACAGAAAAGCAACTACAAATTTTAGATTTATTGGAATCCCTAGTATGTCTCCAAAAACATTCTTTCCACTCTAATAAATTCTAAGGTTTCAGGAATAGAAAACAGAGACTACCCAAGGTCATTGAGACTTATGGTAATAAATACTACTGTTTTCTGTATCCTTTGGTTTACAGAACTGCATATTTTATCCACAGGGGACAAAGGTCCATTGGTTCAAAACATATATCTTGAAGCACAGAGCTCAATTTTGCAGTTTGTTATCTTTAAACTGGTGCCTCAGTTGCAACTTTAAAAGGCTATCCCAATGTTCTATCATATTGACAACTCGCAGTTGTTACAATATATGGTAGGATCAGTGACAGTGAGTTCCCTAACTTTGTGTGTTTTTGTGCACTTCCTTTACAATAAAGCGAGTACCCTGGGCCTAAGGAAATAAGCTATTCAACAATACCAGAGCTTTCCTCAAGAATCTATTCCTCAAAGTCTTGGTGAAGAGAGTGTTCCCTGGACCTTCTAGCATGGCTGAACAGGTCTTACATGGTAAATGATAAATGTCTTACATGATAAATCAATTCCAGCATTCCTGTTTTTATAAGTGTTTGAATACTTTTCTCAACAGTATAAAAAAGAAAATTCTAAAGCTTCAACTTCATTTGTTTAGTCCACTTTTGGGTGCCAGTTTCAGTAAATTAACCAAGCAGACCATTACAAGTGATGCCAGCCCTTTGAACTAACACAATGAATCTAGAATCTCTGGTTAGTGAATCAATATAGCATTTTTGGCTTGATATAACTTTTTATTCTTTCCACTCTCATCCCACATACTTATAATTCATTCTCACTCATGTCCCCAGGCTTTTGTTGATATTAATTAGCATAAGAAATAAAAAAATGTAACTCCTTATGGATCACACTCCATACTTTCACCCTTTGTGATACTTTTGTACTTTAATCTGGTCTAGAAGTCATGAGAGACAATGAACGTAGGTCCTTAGGAAAATCAACAATCCTTTGCAAGGAAATTGTCTCATGACAGTCCACTATATGTTCTTCAGGCAGGAGAATACTGATCTCATCAGTCAGAGGTAAAAGGGCTGTTTCTACTTGCAGAAAGGCTTATACCTGACAGACAGTAGTGCTCAATAAATATTTGTTGAATGAATGAATAAGATTTGTCCAATATTCTATTTCCACCCATGATTAGATGTGCTGGGTACACTATATATTTATAGATTTGGTTGTGCAAAGAAAGGACATTGAGTCTTTACATAGTTTTCCCTACACTGTTTGCTTGGGTGAATTTTTCCTTCCTGTATAATGCATACATTATGCACTGAATTTTATTTCAGCCTTTTTTCTCATGGTCATATTATAGATAATTGGCCAAACTATTTCCCATTTAAAGCCCAGAACTTAAAGCTGGAAACTAACAATTATGCTAATATTTAATAAGATAGTTTATCTTTCTCTTAAAGAGAAATCAAGTGGTTTCTTTACAATAAAGAGTCAATAAGCAGCAGCTTCACAGATGGTACTAAATATAAGCATATACTGAAAGCCTACATTGTTCACTCTATTTATTCACCAGTTTGTGGTGGCTGAAAAATACCACCTTTGTATTTTATCCAATGAACAGACTCTGATTTTGAAAAAAAATACTTTGTCTACATTAATTAAATATGGAACAATTTTTGGTATTAAAATCCCGAGTAAGTCAGAATAGTGAGTAAGGAACTCCACAAATCTCCCTTAAAAGCAATAATAAAAACTGGGCAATTGTGTAAAACAGCCAGTTTGGGACTCTAAATATTAAGTAAATGCATACAACAAATTAAGTTTATATTCAAGAAAAACTGCTGCACCACAGATGAAAACAGTAGTAGTCTGTGGCGTTTTAATCCAAGGCTTCTCCCACTGCCCCCAGCTCCATCAGCATGGTAATTCTACCAGATCAGGACAGGTCTTGACAACTAGAAGCTTCACTGTCACTGCCAGAGGTAGCTGACTTGACTTGGGGCATGGGGAAAAAACAAAAAACAAAAAACATCTATCTGAGTGTTATCGGAAACGGTCATAATTTCTGTGGCAAACAAATATAGAAAGCTAACATCATAGCTATCCTGAGACTTTGATCCTGGTGGAGGCAAAAAAAAAAAAAAAATGACTAGCAAACTAGCCAGAAATTTAACAGGAAGATTCAGGGCGTAAACATTGATAAACTCTAGCATATACCTAGGATATTAGTTTCCTATTGCTGCTGAAACAAATTGCCACAAATTTAGTGGCATAAACCAAAACAAATTTATCATCTTACCATTTGGAAGTCAGAAGTCCTAAATGGCTCAGTAAGGCTGTGGTCCTTCTGGAGGCTCTAAGAGAGAATCAATTTTCTTGCCTTTCCCACTACTAGAAGCTCCCATATTCCTTGTCTCTTGGTCCAACACTACCCTGACCTCTGCTTCCCCAGCAACGTTTCCTTTGCTTACTTTGATCTTCCTGCTTCTTTGTTGTAAGGATCCTTGTGATTATACTGGGTTCACCCTGATAACTCAGGATAAGCTCTTAACTTTAAGGTCCATAAATTAGTTACATTGGCTAAGTCCTTTTTACCAGGTAACATAACATGTTAGCAAGTTTTAGAGATAAAAACATGGACATCGTTGAAGGCTATTATTCTGTTTACCACACCTAGTGATCTAAAAAGGTGTGTTTGGGTAAGCCTGTTCAGTTATGAGAGACAAGAAAAACCACTAGCAATTTACGCATCCCTGGTTGAACGTGAGGCCTTGTGTAAACAAAAGAATAAAAGTGGGAATTCCGCAAAAAGTAAAAGGCAGAGAACATTTGTAAACCGCCTGAACTTTGAATGCATTTTCCAAGGGCATACAGATCCACTGACAAAGAGTGGAAGCCCTACTGGCTCAAGGTGTTTGAGCATAACCTCTGGCCAGTAATTGGCTGAATATTAAGCTATGGAGAAAAAGGAGTGGAGTCTAAGATGTCAAGCTAAAAAGATGCAATTTTTATAAGTAGTAGGAGAGAAAACAAAGTGATAAGTAAATACTGACTCTTCAAGTGAATTGTCTGAGAAGTCACATCAGGATCCATCAAGAGAGCAAAAAGACACACAAAGAACATAAAAATGGAAAGCTGGGCAGCCACCCACCCAAGATCAAGGCAGAGCCAGGGGAAGCCTCTAATACAGGGAAAGGGTGAGCGTAAAAGTCCCTGGGGGATCCACACTTCCCACAGGGACCCTTGCCATCCTGGGAACAGGAGAACCCCCGCGGAATCCCCAGGCTTCTAGACTGATACAAAGAACCACTTGGAGTTTTTGCAGAG